CGTCTCTTGCGTCTCTTGCGTCTCTTGCGTCTCTTGCGTCTCTTGCGTCTCTTGCGTCTCTTGCTGGCAATTGCGGCACTTTCCTTAACGGAGAGTTGAACGAGACCGTCTATGTTCGACAACCACCTGGCTTCCTCGATAACGACAACCCTAATAAGGTACTGCGCCTGCACAAGGCACTCTACGGGCTCCGACAAGCCCCACGAGCCTGGAACGCGAAGCTCGACAGTACCCTACTGTCACTGAAATTCAAACGTTGTGCCTCTGAGCATGGCATGTACACGCACAGCCACGGCAAGAAGTGACTGATCGTGGGAGTGTACGTCAATGATCTCATAATCACTGGAGGCGACGTGGGAGTCCTCGAAAGGTTCAAGAAGGAGATGTCGAAAAACTTCGAGATGAGCGATGAGCGATCTCGGCGTGCTCAACTACTACCTCGGCATCGAAGTGCAACAGAACTCTTCCGGCATCTCCATCTGCCAAAGTGCATACGCGAAGAAGCTGCTGGACACAATTGGGCTTGTGGACAATAATCCTACAAGGACGCCAATGGAGGCCCGACTCCAACTAAGGAAGGCCGGCACTACGACGACAGTCGACTCCACCAATTACCGCAGCATTGTCGGGAGTCTGCGCTATCTGGTAAACTCTCGTCCTGATCTTGCTTATTCTGTTGGATATGTGAGCAGGTTTATGGAAGCATCTAGGGAGCGGAAATGAGAAACTCAAGCTGGTCGGCTACAGTGATAGTGACATGGCCAGTGACGTTGATGATCGTAAGAGCACCAGCGGAATGATCTACTTTCTCTCAGGCGGCGCAATCTGCTGGCAATCAACAAAACAGAAGGCTCATTGGGAGAGAAAGCGATCCACCAATGTTATACGTAGACAACAAAGCTACAATCTCCCTGATCAAAAATCCAGTTTTGCATGACCGGAGCAAGCACATAGAAATCAGATTCCACTACATTCGAGAATGTGCAGATCGAGGGCTCATCAAAATTGATTTCATCCGAACAGAGGAACAACTTGGAGACATTTTCACCAAGTCCCTTGCGCGGGTGAAATTTGAAGAACTACGCTCAAAGATCGGAGTTCAAATAATAAGGTACAGCTTTTAGGAGGAGATGGTTAAATAAAAGCTATGCCTTATTTAGTTAGGTTTTCTAAAAACATATAAATTCACGGGAAAAGCCTAATTGTAGGTGCCATTGTTTGGCCAATTTGGGCGAAGTCTTCGTCCACTTTCCTATTTTTGTATAATTGATTTTTCTATTTTTGTAATTAGATTTGTTATTTAAACCGTTCAACTGAAGGAAAATAAGATATCGAGTTTTATTTTTGTATGTATATATATATTTTATACAATAAATTACTTGTACTTGCATAAATCATTTTATTTCAGCTATATTGATAAGGTTAGAGTTTACGATAATGGAATGTTTAAATTTTTTTTTATAAATATTATTAGTTATATAGCAACATTTTTTTTTTTAAGGTGAAACAGTTAATTCCAATTTTTAATTTATTTATTATTTTTGTTACAATTTGCTATGTATTATATCATAATTTATATATTTTTTTATTTTTTAAATAATTTAAGTCAACATAAATAAGTCTCTTTCCACCTAAGTAAAGTTGAAAATTTGACTGAGAGTCGCTCGGCTGACTCGAACACTTAGAGAATCCTTATGTTAACCACTTTCATTTCTCTCATTAGACCATCTGTAGCACTCATAGCTACAGCTCTAACCCGATTATTTCCTAATAATTGTTGTACTTCACAAGTCACATTAATTTTTTGACCGGTAGTATATATCTTTACTTCTAACTATCAAAGCGTTGTAAATATTAGGAATTTTGTCCGGGAAAAACTACCTCTAGTACCGGACCAATGATTTGAGTTATACGTCCCAAGTTGTTTTTTTTTTTTTTTTTTTTTTTTTTTTTTTTTTTTTTTTTTTTTTTTTTTTTTTTTTTTTTTTTTTTTTTTTTTTTTTTTTTTTTTTTTTTTTTTTTTTTTTTTTTTTTTTTTTTTTTTTTTTTTTTTTTTTTGTCAAGCGTAGAAACTTCAAGACCAAAAGTAGCCGAATTTGTTCTCATAAAAAAATGAAATAGGTCAAAAAAAAAAATTGTTATAGTAATTTTATTTTTTTTATACTAATTATTTTTATTATTTTTTAATTTTAAGGTCGGTCGTTTTTTTTTTTTTTAAAAAACAATTATAAAGAATTATCTGTAATTTTATATTAAAATTTTACAATTTTTTATTGTTCTAAAAAATATAGACTAATTTAAGTCTTTTAATATTATTTTATCTTAGATTGAATTGTGTAATTACTTCGGGGATAAATAAAAGTTTAAAAAAAATTAAGTTTATTATTTAAACCTATGACGTCATCCCCTCTCCTTCACTTCGCCTCTATTTATAGAATTTTGCTTCACAACCAATCCCATATCTCTGTCTTCTTTCTCTCTCTACTGAGTCTAAAATGGACGCAAAATCCAGCCCAACTTCAACCATCTTCCGTTCTCAGTCGCCGTCGTCGTCCCCATTACCGCCGCCGCAGAGTGTTCAGGCCGGCTTGGTGGCCAGTCCGTGTGCTGCGTGCAAGACTCTGAGGCGGAGATGCACAGAGAAATGCGTATTGGCGCCCTATTTCCCTCCCTCTGATCCTCTCAAGTTTACCATTGCTCACCGTATCTTCGGCGCTAGCAACATCATCAAATTGCTTCAGGTACCTCACCAGCCCCTAATTTCCTCATTTTCTCGAGTTTTCGTGTTATCACTCTGTTCTTTGTTGTTGAAATTGTGAAATTCGATGTGGAAATTGAAAATCGTTCTTGGAATCGTTACGAAATCGTTGAATTACCGAGCGATTTTAGGGAAGGAAAAAAATACTGTTGACAGGAATAGTTTGGTCAATGCGTATGCGTTCCGAGCAAAAGAACAAAATGGAATTAGTAGTGAAATTGATCTTCCCTTTCCTTTCTATATAATCGAGCGAATCATAATCGAGTAGAACTGTGTGTTTGTGGAGGCGGCTTAGTGCCGTACGTGACTTGGTGTACAGGCAATGAACATAGTTAGGGCTCACATATACAACGATGTCCCTATTTTGCCTGTAAATCTGAAAAATTACGCAATCCAAATCTGTAACGATGTTCATATTTTGCTTGTAAATCTGAAAAATTACGCAATCCAAATCTGTTTGTTTGTTTGTGTTGGCTCAATGGCCATGTGGAGCAATTATAATCAAACAATCAAACAAAGCAGCTCTTCTGTTTGATTTTTGTCCTCAAAGAACAGCCAATCATATAACAATCTGTTCTTCCACAATTCAAATCACCACAAACCAAACACTTCCTGATATCAATCACCTTATTGAATTCTTCAGGATCTTCCTGAATCACAGAGAATTGATGCAGTGAGTAGCTTGGTATACGAAGCAAGCGCAAGAATCAGAGATCCAGTATATGGATGTGCAGGGGCCATTTCCCAGCTCCAAAAACAAATAAACGAACTGCAAGCAGAGCTAGCCAAAACACAGGCTGAGCTTCTCAACATCCACAGCCACCAAACAAATTTGGTGGCTCTAATTTGCAAGGAACTAGCTCAAACACCGCCACCGGTGTCGCCCCTGGACCACCACACACTCGACAACAATCTCAACACTGCCACTCCTCAGAGCTACACAAATTTGTTTGAAGATAGCAGCATTTGGGAGCCTCTTTGGACATGATTAGACCTGAAAAGGTTGTGGGAAGTCAAAGATGGAGTAGAATATATAAAAGTTGAGTAGTTGAATATTGGGTAATATTAGGCAGTTGTTAGGTTAGATGGGTTCCTCATTTGCTCCCTCACAACCAAGAAAAGTGGAGTGAAGAAGAAAAAGAATGATGTTTACTACACTAAATTAGTGCAAAAGTATTAAATCATAGTGTGTGTATATATATATATCCTTAGATATCTTTGTCAAAGTTCCTTAAAGTGGTGTCAATTGTGTTGCTTCCCTCCTTTGAAAATGACCACAAATGTCCCCTTGCTATGATCTCGGGCTCAACAACTCACGTGAGTTTACGCATTTAACATTTTGATCGATAATATAGTATCTGAAACCGTTTGAATTATATTTAAGCTAGCTATTCTTTAAATTATGTTCAAGTTTACTATTCCTTTTTTTCCTCTTTTTATCTCCTATTGTCCTCGTCCCTGAATGAATTTTTTTATCTTACTCTAGTATTTTTATAAAGAATTAGCTGAAGATAATTTTTTTCCTATATGCTTTCTCATCCCATCCTTATTTCATCCCGTACTTATTACAATCCAAACCCTCTATTTTAGGTTTTTTTTAAAATTATCTTTTTAAAAAATCTTATTTATTCACGGGATCTATTATTAACTAAAACATCATAAAACTCAAATATAAAAAAATATTCTTAATTTTCATAATAATATTTAGAATATGGTAAGGTAGAGTTTGATTGTAATCGTATTTTTAAGTTGAATTTTTATAATAATCTTAAAACATTTACCATTTAACATGAATTATCATATTAAGATTAATTATGAAGAGAAAATATGGTTGTTGAGCCAAAATTAGGGTTTTGTTTTTTTGTTTCTAATTATTACGTCACTCTTCTTTTTCTATAAAAAGTAATGTCGCTTTTTTAAAATTGAAACTCTTATTTATTTAATATTTAAAGGAAATTGAACTCGAGTTCATTAAGGACCCTTCGAGGAGACACGTCACGTGCTCCACACTAATCCACACAATCATGATTAATCTCCTTTTTAAACGCGTTTTCTTTTTTTTTAAATTACCCTAGCTAATTAATAAAATACCAAATTGATAAAAACATGTTTAAATAATAATAATGTTAAAAACACTATTAATTTAATAATAATATTTTTTTTTTATCACTAGAATATGATTGAAATGAATTTCATAATAATAATAATATTTTAATAATTGACGGGAGAACGAACTATCGAACATCTTGAACCTGGTAACAAATATTTTATTCACCAAGTTATATTTAAATAGGTACTAAAAGTATTCTCGATATTTTAATATATTTTAATTGGAGTAAGTACGTAATTAATATTTTTTTTTTCAAAATATGGGTCTACAAAAAAAAAAAAAAAAAAAAAAAAAAAAAAAAAAAAAAAAAAAAAAAAAAAAAAAAAAAAAAAAAAAAAAAAAAAAAAAATTACAAAATTAAAACTAATTTTGATTAGTTAAAAGAAGTTTAAAGATATTTAAGTACTAAATTCAAACAAACTAATAATTTCAAATTTTGAAATTAAATCCATAATTTTGATGATAATCAAGACTTCTTAATTCAAAAAATATTTAACCCATAATTCCAACTTCACGTAATAATCCAAAAAGATCGGGTTGCATGTGTTTGGAGAGAATAAATAGAAAAAGTAATAATTAAAGACTTTCGGAAAATTTGATGATTCGAAGAACTAGGTCAATCGAACCCGATCCGTATGATTTGGGTTATATGATCCTAAAACATAGTCTTCTCAATGATTCTTCCCGACTTTTAGTCTTCTTGTATTCTTCTTTTTAAAAACGAATTGAATTGGACTGTACTGACGACCATAATTTTTTAGGGTCGTCTCAACGTTCTTTCGTTCTTCGTTTATTTTCGAGATTCAAGGGTCATTATCTCTTTGATTAGCAATTCTTATATATATGAGCGTGAGTTGCTAGCTCTTCAAAGGTACAAGGCTTTATATCTTCAAGGATGAAAGGAAATCCCGAATGTTGTTAGTTCATTTAGATAATTTTTATAATCAAGATTGATATAGAATCAACTCAAGGGAAAGTATGGAACGGGTTACCTTGATGATCAAGATCAAAAGTAAAGAAAACTCGTTTCTAAACTCGTGATTCGAATCACTCTACAAGAAATTTGATCAATACCACTTAAATGACTCTAACATGTAAGTGGTAGACACAAGAATTTGTAAAGAAAATCTTAGCTCTCAACAAAGTTAAAAATAGAAATTCTATTATTTTTAATTCCAAAATGTGAGGACCCGAGAAGAAGACTTTATATAGCATTTACAACCTTAATCTATGTGACACATAACTCCCAAATTAAATTGACTAGTACATAAGAAATACCCCTAACCTCCCTATTAAAATGGCTAGTTCGTTCTTGTAATTGATCCTTTTCTTTGGTCGTGGTTCATATCAAAGATTCTTGACTCTACTGACTCGATCACGTTCAAATAACCTATTTGACCGATAGATCTCTTAATATACCAACATTTCCACGTGTTTCAATGAAATGAGCAACATATGCTATGAGTTTCCTTTCTCATCAAACTATCCCGATTTTTTTGATTGTTATCAAGTTGACATTCGCAAACCTATCAATACTCTTTCTATATAGTTTAGAATACAAAAGTGAACTTTCAGAACCACCGGGAAATTGTGCTCTAGTAGGTTTTGTTATCGTGTCCTGATGTTGTCGGACAAATAGGAAGTTCATTGAAGTGGAGTGTCGTAATTGATTTTTTTGGACAACGATCTTCTGTTTGTTGTGATCTATGACAACACCAGTTTTTACTTGATTTGGTGACGTTTTGATTCTCAATCATGTTCTTTAGGCATACAATTTGAGAATATTTGTCATTTTTTCTCCGGTGACGCTTGTGTTAAGTGTCATGATGGACACTACATTGGGATCGAGCTCAAACAAAGGGCTATGCTTAATGAGTAACTTGATTCTAGCAAACGCCATGTAACATAAAATGGTGCAAGAGTCACTCGTCGCAGAATCATTGAATAAGTTTTGAGATGAGAAAAATGTTGGAATTTATGTCGTAAAACTTCATAATTTTGATTATTTTCTTTGCAATTTAATATTATTTATTGTATGAAAAATTCATATAATCCTAAATGATACGAAAACTTCATAGATATACATTTATTTTATTTTTATTTAATATCATAATTATTTTTTTTAATTATTTATTGTCTGACCACTCTTAAAATGTAATTTTTTTTAATGTATTTTGAAAGATAACTTTTCAAAATATATATTCAAATTGAGCCGGGAATTTTAATCAAATATTTGAAAATAAATAAATAGATATTTTACGAAATAACTTTTATTCTTGTTAAAATAAAAATTTGAATAAACTATTAGAACCCCACAAACCAACCCAAAAATTTTATGACTAGGTTGGGTTCGGTTCATTATTTAATAATGGTTATTAAGCAAAAAAATTCGATTAGAAAAAAATGGTATACGATACAAAAATTATTGTTATTATTATTTAACTAAATTAATAAAAATAATTTTAAATTTGGTATATTCCTAAAAAAAAATATATTCTTCCAATTAAAAAAAAAAAAAAAAAAAAAAAAAAAAAAAAAAAAAAAAAAAAAAAAAA